TTGATCAGCTGCAGAAAGTTATCTGAAGTTACCTCAGGCATCGCTGCAGGACCCTCTGCAGCAGATGCAAACTGGTGTCCCAACTCAGCCAAGCACCAGGCATTTTGGGGAGGTGCAAGGCAGAACATAAAGCAAGAAGAAGGTGGAGGCAATGAATCGCTGGTCATCAGCCCTACTCTCACTTTCTCATGCAGCTGCGTGGGAGGTGTTTGTGTGGTACATGATAATAAAAGCTGGGATATTTTTCCACCCGGATTTTTTCAAGCTTTGCTTTTGCTGTAGATCCCAGAGACCAGATGTCTGACATTAAAGAAAGAACAACTCACTTAACTTCTCTTTGAGGACATTTGGGGAAGGAAGGAAAACAAGCGAAGAGAGCAGGAGAGCAGTGCTGTCCTGGGGTTCCTACCTTCTCTGGGCTTCGGGATGTTTCTGCATCCCCCAGTGACCTGGGCACGGGGTTTTCCTGAGGACCTTTATCCCGTACCTTCTGCATTTGGGCAGAGCCCTCTCTGGACCAGCCTTGCATGGCATCGCGGGGGATGATGTAGCTCCAGCAGTGCAGCTGCCTTGGCTCTGAGAGCAAGCGGTGCCTGCTGATGGCAGACGTGTTAGTCAGCTCGACATTTTTTGGGCTTCTGTGGCTGGCTGGGGTCATCTGCTCGTCCTGGTAACGTGCTGACACCGAAGGCATCGTCTTGCACAACGAGTCCCTGTGCACAGCAGAGGTGTTTAGTCCAGCTAAAACCCACAGGACATCCACCCCACACTCACCGCAACCAGGAGGCAGACCTAACAAAATAAGGCTGTGAGCAGCAAAGACAAAACCCTCAAAACCCATCCTGTGTTACTGGAAGGGAGCGAGACCTCAGGCATTTTGGTGTCCTGGTGGCATGTCTTTAAGAAACAGGCTTCAGCTCATGCTGCAGAACAAAAAAAAAAATAATAATAAAAGGGGGGGAAAGGCAGTGGTCCATAGAGGTCTGATATGGCAAACTGCTTCCAGGGTCTCTGCTCTGGTGATAGGGTTAAGTGAGAGTTGGGAGCAGGTCAGAGCAACCAGGCTCCTGCTGGGACTTCCATTATGTGCAGGGACAGCAGACGAATGGCAGCGCAGGGAAAACCTGTGTTTGGTAAAGATCATTGAATCACAGGATCAACCAGGCTGGAAAAGAGCATAAAGAAAAGAGCACACCGCAGACAGGGCCAGACATTAAGGCTTCAGAGGTTTTCCCTGAAATAACCACGTAAAAAAATGAGTTTCTGGGGCAATTAGTAATGTAGGCAGGGAGACTTTCTGCATTGCCATTGTAAGCAAGCAACGGTAATGATGGAAGCAGAGCATCCAGCCTTCCAACACCAACACACCAGTGGGACTCCATGCAATTGCACGAAGCCAAGTAATGGGACGGAGAGGTTATTGCAGTGCCAAAAAGGGGCTTGGCCTTTCCCTTCCATGAGAAAGACACAGTGAGAGCAAGACAAACAAAACCAACGAGTGCAGGGGTACCAGTATAGTCCTTTAGCTGCAGCCACGTCCCGCAGGTAGGTCTGAAAGCAGCACCTTCTGACAGCCGCTCAGGATCACAAGCATGAGGTGCTGCCCCATTTTCTCCAGGATTATCACTTCTACAACCCAGCGCTCCCAAATCCTGGTAAGTGAGGGCGAGGAATACAGCCTGCCACGAACCACAAGTTCCTCGATGCTTCAGAGCTTCCTTCAACCTTCTGGCATTTGTATCCTCCAACAAGAGTCCTAGCAGAGCTCGTTTCCTCCATCTTTCCTAAAGTTATTTAGGAAAACACTCCATTAGGCATCAGCTACTCTGTTAGGATTTATTAGCTCCCGCTGGGAGAGAGGAACAGAGATTCACATGAGTCATTAAGTTTAAGCCTTGCCGGCAGGATGGACATGAAAAATGATATTTTAGTAGGGTTTGCATTGGCACTGCTTACCCACTTAAACGCTTATGGTATAATTACTAAGGGAAAAAGGATGTTGTATGATTTCAGAAAAAAAAAAAAAAAGAAAAAAACACACAACCCAAACACAAAAATCCTCTGCAGAACCCAAACACGCTACACACATTTCTGCAAATTCTTTATGGTGGGGTTGGCTGCTCTGCTAGAACAAGTTACAGGGATCAGGTTGTCTGTGTCCTCCCCAGGCAAGACCCTACTCAGAAGCTTGATCTTTTTTTCTTGATTTGGGGGTTGGATCCGATGATCTCTTGAGGTCCTTTCCAAACCCTACAATTCTGTGATTTTACTGCAAGGGCAAGTGAAAAAAGCCAACTGCTGTCTGCGGCAGAGGTCATTATTGTGAACGCAGACGTGGTCGGAATTTGTTCTTGGGATATCCTTTGTGTGGCATAAATGAAAATCTCCAAAGGATGCTTGGGCTGAGTCTTGCTTTTTAATTTCATTCAAAATTAGGAAAATTGAAAATTATAAAAGGTATTTGGCTAGAAAAGCAGAAGGCATTCAGGCAATCCATGAATGATTTTTTTTTTTCTTCCTGGTAATTTTTGTATATTCTATTCTATATTTTGGTGTTTCTTTCAGCTATTTTTCTCCTCTCTGTGTCTCATAGACATGCAAACATACACTGCTAGTTGGCCAGTCAACAATCCCCCTTGATTTAGTTAAATAGAAATAGTTGGAGGAGCCTTGGCAGATCCAGTTCTTCATTCCAGGCTGATGTGGGATATCACAGGGTGCGTGGGGTGCTCACAGCCCATGGATTACAGGAGCTAAAAAGCCATGGCAGCATCCAGCTCTAGGTCCTGAGGGGCTGGTGGCACTCCGAGGTCCCTCTGCAGCAGATAACAAATCCCAGGAGGCCTTAGAGCATCCTAACCCCAGCCACGACCCCCTGGCAATGCAGAGCAAGTGCAAAGAGGCCATCCACCCCATTACACAAGCCCAAAAGGAGCAAGCATGAGCACCTGAGCCCACGGCTCCTGCACGGCACGTAGGCAAAAAACCTCCCTGGCAGACAAGCAGTGCTTTGTATGGTGTTGGGAAACACAGGTTCCTGCTCCCGGGCTCAGCCAGAGCCTGATGGCCGTCAGAGCGATCCCAGCAGGGCGACGGGAGAAATTCATCACATTAAGAAAACACGCTATAATTAGAAATGGGTTAAAAACAGCTGGACAGACCTCATTACTTGTTTTTTGTTTGCTTTTGCAAAACCAATACCAAGAATGGTTTGGCCTCGGGCCTCGTTTCTGAGCTCATAGTATTCATGGGTGGATCTGGGGACCAGAGGAGTGGTTTCAGTTAAGAGCTGTCGGCAGTAAAGGAGCAAACCATCACCCGTTTCAGCCTGTTCCCACGTTTGTAGAGCTGAACCTGCCCTGACCATCACCCCTCGTGTCACTGCTGGTTTGGAAATGAGGTGACTGAATGAAGCTGTGGAGCTGCTTTGCTGCACGTCGGGGCTGGGTTATCCCCTCCATATTCAGCCCAGGGCTCTGCAGAAGATGCTCGCTCTGTAGGGTGGCAGTAGAGTGACCCAAGACCAACCAATACCTTATTCTGCAGACCCTTCTCAGGTGTGAACAAGGGGCTTGGTCAGGCAGATGAGAGCTGCCTCCCTGTTCAGGCAGCTCCCTCGGTCACAGAGCACGGCGCTTGACATTTATTGCAACTCCTCTGGAGAGGGATGCTGCCAGAAACAAATTCCCAGCAGCAAGACAGGACAGGGAAAAAGGATCTAGCAGTGGTGGTAACTCCCCTTCTGCCTCCCTCTCCCCTTCCTCCTGCTCACATCTACACAAATCCACTCGGAGGTGAGCATCTGACCAAAGTCTTGTCAATTTTACCCAGTGATAACCCTACTGACTTCAGTGGCATTGTTTCAGCCTCACCTACGTCACCCAACAGTCACATAAGCCCCTGTTTTAGGAGCCTTATAAATTTCTAGCTAATGTGGAATATGACAGGGTTAAGTGCTCTTACCGCTGCAGGATTTATTGTGGGCCCTGCAAGCTCAACCTAATCCAGGAAAAGGCTTAATCACTAAGTTATCTTCCATGCTGCTGGCACCCATTGGGCTACGTCTGCATCCACACATGGCTTCATAAAGCATTAGTCAGTAGAAAGACACATTTTTTTTCAGTGTATTAGCTTTTATGGAAAATAACTTCTCAGCTGTTTGCCATTTTACCATTCCGGTATCAAGCGACAGAGTCTTATCGTTAAACATCTCCTCAGGCCTTATCACTCTCACATTCCCACATCAGCTGCCTTTTTTAATGAGCTGCAGGGAACCATCGAAGCCTCACTGCAAGAAGGATCTCGTCCTCAGCCATTCGTTGTTCTTCCCAAGCATCAAAGTCCTTTGGCTAAAAGATCTGCTTCTCCCTGCACCACAGGCTGATCCACAGGGGAATACTCTTCTCTTCTTGCTCTTCTCCTGCCCTCCCATTTAATTTAGCTGTACTAGTAATGGCGCTAGACCAATTATTTTGCTAATCAGGGATCTGATCTAGGAGCTCCGCTTGCTCAAGCAAGGCTACAAAGCTGTAGCTGTGGCTCTGCCAGCTCTCACCGGCTCACTTGGTCGAGCCTCAACTCTTCCTGGATGGGAGTTTTCCAAGAAAAATCCTGCGAGGAGCCAGCCCTCCAGCAGTGTTCATGGGCACCATGCTGTCAGAGGAGCTGTATTTCAGATGTGGCTGTAGCCAGGCATGAGCTCAGGACTGACTCAAAGGGAAGAATACCACCCCCTGAATCACCTTCCTGCAAACCTTGAGGTTTCCTGGCTGGACATCAGAAGAGATGGCTGCTCCTTCAGACATTTCTGTTTGCCCTGGGTAATTTTCCACTGTGCCAGACTTCCTCAGATTTTTCTCATTGCAGCAAGACAGGCAGGGACCCCACTTTTGGGTTAGGAGATGCCGAAGGTCCTGGGTCCCCTCAAAGCACCCCCAGGCCAAGTCTCACGTGGGAGCTCAGTCCCCATGGCTGAATTTCTCTAGAGCTTCTCCAAGAGGAAGAGGCAAAAAGAGAGAAAAAAAAAAATGAAAATGCAGAGCGAAAGGGACCAAAGCCTCAATTCCTGGCAGCTCACTTCCTCCAGAGCCTGTGCCTGGCTTTCCTCAGCAGGTTCTTGTGCAGGAATAGCTCAGGTGGTAGGAGACTGCAGTGGTTGCTAGTAGCTCTTTCACTTCTGAGATACAGGAAAACATCTTCCTGACAAATTGAGGAGCCTGAGGGCTAGAAATGCACCTCCTACACGTACCTACATGGGCCCAACGGGCAGCAGCTGTACCCTCTGGTTCTTTGTGAAGGTTTCTTTTGCAGCATCTTTCCGCTACAGCTTAATAAAACATCTCCCCACATCAAAAAGCAACCGAGATACCCCAAACCTGATGGAATCGGGTCATTGGCAACCTGCTGCAGCTGACCCTGCCCAAGGAGGGAGGGAGGACTGGAGAGGGAATCCAAGCAGGCTTGCTGCCCCTAGGAAATGGGTAGTTAGTAGGAATACAGCAGGACAGGGTTTAGGAGGAGGAAAACAGAAACTGGATGGGAAAGCCCCTTAGTAAAAAAGTTCCCAGCCCTGATAAGGACTCTAGAGACAAACAGCTGTAGTGGTTTCAGTGTTTGCATCTCCCAGGTGCCTGCTGCTGGAAAGCATTATTCCAGTAAGGGAAAAAGTAACAGTGCAAATAGAGGCAGGGGAATGACAAAAGGCGATTGTCTGAGGGCTAGCAAAGGGGGCGCGTTTCGTGTTTTGGAGAGCTAGGCTTCCTGAGATAACTCCTCTGCTGATTTTAGAAGCAGATCCTTTCCCTAAATATTTTGTTAAGGAAGGCGTGCCTTCAAATATGCCCTTAGTCAGGCTAAAAAAAAATAAAAAACATGTACTAGCAAACCTATCGTGGTTCTCAGGCTGTCTAAAAATCAATTTTAGAAGGGAATCAAAACATACTGGTGTGACTTTAACGAAAGAGATTACCATCCTGGTCCCCACGCCAACATCTGGTAAGGTAAATCCGGTCTACTGGCCACCTGGACCGATCCCATACTAAGCCTAGATCAAATCGATTTGCATTTTCATCCTATTTCTTGCTGCATGTATGTACTACTACAGATACTTCCATCCCCCAGGCCAGCGAGCTCTGCTCCAACTTCTCTGTGGGTGGGCAGCGCCTTGCCTTTCTACCCAAACCACCACTGACAAGCCCAACACCCTGAGGCTGACCTGGGACAGATTTTTCGAGCACATTCTTGAAGTGAACTCTGCTGTAAATGCTTGTCCCTAAATCTCGCTACCCTCAGTGCTTCCAAGCATCACCGCGCCGAAAAGGAAAATAGATCCTCCTCCTGCTTCTTACTGCTTGCACAAAGCACAGGCACGGTGCTTTCTGCACAGAAAAATTGGGCCGGGGAAAGGTCACCAAATATTTTGCACATCCCAGAGCAGTCGCTTACGCAGAAGGGCTTCCTTCCTCCTCCTCCTTCTCCTCTGCGGGCGTGCTGCAGGGCATGTGGCTGCTCTGGGGGAAAGGGCACGGCTCCAGCACTCTCCCCAGGCTGGTGGCACCCCCGTGTCTGGGCCTTTTGCTCTGCTGGTGACACGGCTGTCCCCTGAGGTCAAGGCCAAACAAGCCTGCCTCGCTTTACTGACTGTGTTCCTTAACCCCCAACCCCTGCCCTGGGTCACCAGTGGCAAAAAGGGAAGTGAAATACTCAAGTGCAGCTCCAGCTTCTGAATTTTGGGGGATTTTGGTTGAACGCCTACAAAATTCAGGATGTGCTGAAGCCAAGAGACCTGTGCCAGTTGTCCTCAGGAGGTGCTGGGCCAGGCAGCCCCATCCTGCTCCCACACAGCCTCTGTTTGCAAGCTTTGCACCCAAAGCCTTGCAGGAGGATGAGGAGGGCATCCCTCCCTACCCCAATTGTCCCTGCAGGGCCTTCTGTTTCTTTTGCAAAGGCACCAAAACAATGTTAGGCTACTGTGCTACAAGTCAGAGCACCTCGTTTTGGCCAAGCCCCAGCTTTTCAGGAGCTCCCTTCTTCTTCTTTTGGCTGACTGGACTCTGCAGTGACCCGTGTCTCTGTCTGGAGGAACAAGGAGGAGGTTTTGGGGGAACACAGGCAGATAGGGAGATACAGCCAATAATATCTGTAAAGTCACAAGTGCTGTACTGCTGACATATAATCAGCCTTGTCCATGGGCTATAAAGAAATAAATTCTGCATTTTTTTCCCCCTAAGAGCATGCCACTGAAATCTCCCCTTCTTTTTCTTTCATCAGCTCCTGCATCTCTTAAACAAACCATTTGATGAAGACACAAAAACACAAATCCATCACTCTGCCATAACTAGCTGCAGCTTACAGAAATACATAAGAATAAAAGAAACCCTCACAGAAAAATGAAAGCTTTCCACAAAGCCCCCTTTACTTTTGTTCGGCGCAAACTCATTTCAGCTTGATTTATGGCCCACTGGAATTTAAAGCTTCGGAGGAGATTAATGGGCTGCTTTGGGGTTACGTCACCCGCGTGGACTGTCAGGACAAGCCTGCTCTGAAATCACAAAGGAAAGCTGGGTCCTGATCCCCTGCTCAAATACAAGAGCGACTGCTGTTCCTCAGTGACTCGATTGGATAACACAACAGAGAGGCTTCGTGAGAAATACAGGTAGGATTTGCCCTGCATGAGCACGGCGAGCTGCAGCAAGGTTTTACGCTGCAGGATCAGGCCGTGTATTCTGAAACGCATCAGATGTGACTCATTCTTTGAGCCACGCTCGGATTGGCTACGAGAACATTTCTTTCCCATTTGGAACTGTATTTTTTTGAGGATTTGAGCGCTACGCCGACCCTTTTTAGTAGGCTTAGGCTGCAAGTCAACAGTGACAGCGGGTAGGGTGTAAGGGGAGGACTTTTGGTCGCAGAAAATCTGCCACTTACCCTGCTGCTGTGACCAGAAGTCCCAGTTTTGAGAGGAGCAGCACTTGCTGGTGCCAGGCGCTTGGTTCTGGTGGAGAGGCACCTCCGGGCACCTTGGACTCAAGATCCCAAAGTTTGAGCCTTGCAGACAAAGCCAGCCAGCTGTCCTTCAAGTGAAGCAGCGTGCTTGATTGCTGTGGTGAAAAAACAAAAGGTTTGTTCCCCCACCATGTTCCCAAAAGGAAGGTCAATGTTGTCCAGCACTGCAGCCACCCCTACAAGCATGTAAGAGACTGTGGAAGCCAGCTTGCAATTTAGGAGCTGCCGAGACCCCAAGCAGCACCTGAGGGTCCCTGTGCCTCCCCAGCAGGGCTGGGGGAACATCTCCCCATCTCCCTGACGTCCTCCCTGCAGTTGGACTTGGCTCAGCCTCCACACGATCCCAGTCCCCGGGGGTTATCCAGTTTAGAAAGCAAATTTCTTTACAATGAAACGTATTTGGCAGCCCTGCTGCACATGAAGTTCATCTTCGGGGCAAAGAAAAAAAAAAGAAAACAACACCTCCAAGCCCTGCTAAGCAGTTGCTGTGTAATTTATGTCAAATTACTGGTTGCTAGGAGGAACAGATCCAGATTTGCCCACGTTTACTACAGAAAAGGGATTATAGATCTTTCCCTGGGCCCATCAGGAGCATTAGCAGCACTGCTACTCATTCTGCCAAGGGTCTGAGAAAAGACCCTTGGGGGCCTTCCTCCGTTGAGATTTTCATTCTTTAACTGTCTTGCTTAAAGAAAAGGGAGAATATCAGCTGACTGTACGCAGAGGTCTTGGAGGACCCATAAAATCAGAGTATTTGAGGCAGTAAACATCTCAGATTTTTAAATCTCCGGAGGGGAAGGTGTGAGGAAGTGCAATAAAATCAGAAAAGTAAATATTTCTTAAAGGTACAAAGCAAGCAGGAGGGGAAAGAAGAAAAAGACAACAAGAAAATTAAAACAGACTTTAAAATATATGGTCCCCTAAAAAAAATATTACATTTTTTAACTTTTTTGGGGGGGATTCTGGTGACCCAGTTACACTTCCTATTCTATCAGAGAGCTCCCATTGAAGCAGGAGTCAGGTTTAATCAGGAATTAGTGGCACTGCCACTTTCTTCACAACTCCACATCCACAGGAGCGCTCCCACCTCACTCCAGCTTTGATCTGAAGGAATTACGGGATCCTACCAAATAAGCAGGAGCCAGAAATCAGCACAAACCTGTCCACACAGAAGCAGCAAACATCCATTTTTCCAAAAGCCCAGCTCCCCAAAATGATGAATCTTGGTGCCACATGAGCTGATACCGTGTGTTCTTGCTGAAGGCAAGTCCCTAAGATCAGGTGAAGATAGACAGACGTGCAGGGAAGGCTACCAGAAAAAGTTGTGTGGCTACCTGCTACAGCACGCAGCGAGCTATCTGCTCACACTCAGGTCACATCAGCTCCTCATGTAGATACAGGAATTATTTCCTGCCAAATATCGCATGACACAAATTTAATATCCAGCACAGACGTACTGATTTGATCTACAAGACTGTGTGCAGACGGTCAGATGAAGCTCTGGAATTTCTGGCCACTCGTACTTTGGTCTAGAAAAACGCAGCTGATGCTGCAGCATCTTTAAACCAAAACCACTGCTGAGATGAATGGAGCTACGCTGCTCTGGCGGGATTTCTGGTCTCTGATATTCTTAAAAAGCAAGCTTTAGGAGCTGTGTTCTCAAAGAAAGCAGGCGTCTTCATTGTACCGGGTAACTGCACCCGGTGAAATGCAGTTTAGAAGTCCCATGGAGAAACAATCACTTTTCTACCCTCTGTATTCAGAGACCCTGCTTGCAAGCACTTCTCTTCAACAGAGTATCATTACGAATCACACCGCCTTTTTCCAGCAATTTGCACATTTTTATCCTTGCAATTACTGCAAGTTCTCTACTGCGAATAAAAACCCAATTAGGAAAGCTTCTTGAAGGCCTACCGCCTGCTCCTTGATGACTATTTCAACACACATGCATATGGCTGATTACGTTAGGCGTGTGTACTGTTTGCAGTGTATTTTGTGGTAACCAAGTGAATTTGGGGGCGTGAATCACCAACACAAGTTTTGTTACGGGTCAGCAAATGAAGGGAAGGGAAAACCCAACCTAAACACACAGGTAATCCACCTCCAGCTGTTCTGTTCCTATGACCGCCGCCCCGAAGGCACACTGCAATTCCTTTGGGATTACCAGGGAGTCATCTCTTCCCAGGTTTCCTTAGAGACTGGATGAATCAGCCTGGGGGAAAGCAGCTGGAGCTGATGAAGATGCCAGGGGAGTAGCCTGGCCTCCTGGCCTGAGACTTGCAGAGCAGGGCTCTGCTTTCTCCAGTTACTTCAACCCCAGGGATGCCCGTTCTAGTGAGGAATGCAACTCCATCACGCTACAACTGCAGGGCTCTCAGGGGTTTCAGCTCTTTCCCCCTTTTCCCGTGTTTTTCTCATCCTCTGGTATCTGCTGTTATGTGAGTGGCTCTATCAGTCCTGCCCCCCAGCTTCATTAACGTACAATCTTGGCTCCTTGATTAATTAATTCGCTTCCCCTGTCCCTGTGCCATACGGGATTATTAATCTCCCGGCGAGGAGCTTGGGGACCGAAGATTACAGGCATCATTTACAGCCCACTGGACCAAAGGCAAGTTCTCTGCGAGCTGGACCAGGACCAGGAGCTATGCAGCAGAGCTGAAACTTTATTCCCAGCCCAGCCTTTTTGTCTTCAGCACATCTCCCCTCTGGCTACAAATTTGGGGTTACTTATATGATAAAAGGTGGTCCTGCTCAGCTCCTTTCCTTTCTGAATTGGGAAGAGATGCTCTGGGTGGTGAAAAATGCCCTGGACAACGAATGAGAACAGATGTGGCCACCCTTGATTAAATACTCATCCAACAGCTGCACAATTCCTGAACGTGGGGGCCTTTTTTTGTAAATAATATCTAAGTTAATTCCTCAGCAGGTTCGTTGTGTTCAGAAAGCAAAGGAACAATATCACAGGCTGGTCAGCGTGTGCAACAAAATAGTTTAAAAAGACCAGAATCACACGTGCCCTTAAAAGCCATAGCGTAGCTGTTAGATACATTTGATGTAGCTTGAGTTAGATGTGGCCAGAGAAGTGTTTGAGGTTGTCTCAGACTGATTTTCTGCCTAATTTTCTATGTTACCTTTATCTCTTTATCTATCTAATTATGTTGATGTAATCTACTGACTTTGTTGTTGCAGTTAATGAAAAAGGCAAACTCTAAGCCTTGAAGCCACTACAACTTCACAGCAGACGTTGCTGCTAGATATTTCGCATGTTAATGTGTAACAGGCTTCACTCACAAGCCTCAGCGCGTCCTGCAGCGTAACGGGGCCGGATCCAGATCTGGTGTAACTTGATGAGGCTCCATTTGAGCAGGACGGAGCTCAGCCTTCCCGCGTGTCTGCTTCTGGGGAAAGCCTTCAAAATCTACAGCAGAGCGGAAAAAAAAAAAAAGAGAGAGAAGTTCCCTCCCACTCCTTCCAATTTCAAGGAGTTGCATTTTTTCATTCATAAGCACCGGAGCTATTAATAAAATCGCTGAATGGGCCCGGTTAGCCCCCACAAGTGACACATACCTTACGCTTTGCAAGCCAGCATGACAACAGTCAAAACAGAAATCAGCCTCTCTGTACATCAGCACGCAACGCCGTCTGCAGTTTCCCAAAAAATAAAAAAAAATAACGAACAAAACTCAGACGACGTCCTATCAGTTGCAGACAGATGAGTCACTGGTTTGAGACGAGCAGACCTAAAGTCACCTCCAGCCTGCACAACTCTCCCGTCCTCGCTTTTCCTCTCCATCCCCAGGCTTTGTGCCAGCACGTCTTAGCCAAGCATCTCTTCGGAGGGCTCTGTGCCCTCAGCATGGCCAGCCCACTAATGCAAACACCTTCCCCTCTCTTCCCCCAGCCTCTCTGGTAAGAAACCTGCTGGAGACCCAGCTGCCAAGCCCTGGAGCATCTCTAATTGCGATTTTTGAAAACCCACTGGGTTTCAAAAAAAATCATCATCTAAAACATCCCCCGACATTTCCTGCTGCTGCCACTTCTGCTTTTGCTCATTGCCCCATCCCTAAGCCAGACCTGCCAGAGATTCCTGGCCCTAACCCTGGAAACAGCCTCCCATTAACACCACCGTTAATTATTTTTTGCTCGCCAAACTACCCCCAGGCTGGGAGTTTCTAATAAGAAAGCAGGGCTTCCTAAAGCAGTTCAGCTCCGTGGGATGAAGCGGCCCAGAACAATTTCCTTTCCTGTAAAACGTTTCACTTTCTAGGAGCTTTTGGTGGCTTTTTGCCATTGTGTGAGCGGGGCAGGGAAGGCTTCCCAGCCATCCCGGGGATGCTCAGCAGCAGAAATCGGGGTAAAATATGAAGGAGTTGGGCACAGCACCTCCTGCATGCACAGTCACAGCACCCCCTTTGCCATGGTTAATGTCCAGAAAGGAAGAAATGAGAGAAATGAGAAATTGGGAGCTATCGTGGTCATCTCTGCTCAGCTTTAATAGCACCTGAAGAAAAGCAGGGTATAGGAAGCGAGGCGGGGAATGCTGATGGCATAAAGCTAAGCGTGGATGCGAGCACTTTATTAAACACCGCGTGCCAAATGCTCCGGTACTGGTGGAGCTTTGCCAAGCAGGAATTTGGCTCTGCACGCGCTTTTGTCCATTTCTCAGGTTTCTTTAAGCTTCTTCCAGCACTCGTTTCAAGATACCCTACGCAGGTCTGAGATAGTGATGCCTCTGTTAAATATTTATGAAGCGAGGCCATTAGAGTCTCAAGAAACTCACGCGCTGGTCCCAGTCCAGCAGAACACTTAGGGAGAGTTCAGCTGTTGAGGGAAGTGGTATTTCCACTGATTTCCACTTCACTTAGCCCAGCCCTTGCCAAGGAGGGTCCCAGACCCCATGTGGCCATCCCCAGGGGGAGAACCCCCATAGCTGATGCCACTTTTGAACTCTTTTTGGTCTTCCCAACTCATCTCTGATGTTCTGCTGGAGTTAAGGGTCGATGCTGAACGTACAAAGCCACTCAGATCCCTTAATATGCTTTTTAAGCCAAAACCTTTGGATTTCCCCTCTATTTTTTTTTTTCCTCCCAGCCAA